CTTTGCAGTCACAGTAGGTGGCGATCGCCCTCTGGGCGCCGCGGAGACAGGCCCCTGCAACACCTCCCTGTCTCCCTGGCCGGCCCCCAGCGCGGGGCGCACCCGCTTCCCAAATAGCCCCACCGGGCGCACCCGCTTGCCGACTTGTCTTTGCACAGGAAACCTCCAAGTGGGATTTGTTCTGCCGCCACCATTTCCCTGGACCATCCAGAACCTGGACCAGAGGGTGGGCCTCCTCATTTCCATTTCCCGTTATTGCCCTATAGTTAGGAGCGTCGGGCCAGTTTTCTGCTGTTTAAATGAAGAGGCAGGACCCATCTGGTTCCTGATCTAATTGTCTTTGGCAGGTGTGCGCACCTTCAGCCCCCGCCCAGAGCCGCTCTCCTGTAAATTTCTACCTATCATTTAGCGGTGGAGTCTAATTGATTTCAACCCGGGGCCTGCTGTTTGGCGCATTATTAAAGATGTCTCGGTTACAATCGCCTCAATAATGAAAATGTCTTCGAAAGGATGCAGTTATCAGGGGAGGGTGGACCCCGGGGCTCCCGCGCTCCGGCCACCTGTGTGACCTGGCCAGCCCCCCTGGTTTCTCAGGGACGTTTGTGGTGCCTTAACGAGCCAGAGGTGTAGACCATCCTCGCTGCCCTTCCCACGCAGGCCTCCTGGGAGCCCCGAACACCTGCCGGTGGATTTGAGACGTTGATTTCTTTCTCTTCTAATTTCTGGCCAGATGTGTGCCAGCTGGGCCGCTGCACCCCCTTCCCGGTTGCCCCACCTCTGCGGCTCTCTCTGGCAGCGCCTCTGGCAGGAGACGCTGAGGTGCCCTGAGCTGGGTTATTCTGGAGCGCTGAGCCCGGCTGCAGCGGCCGGTCGCCCCGGTGTCAGTGAAGAGCTATTTCTTTGGCTGTGCGAGGCTTCCCCACAATAGCTTTTCACAGATACTCACGTTCCATCCGCTACTCCAGCAATTTTTTTTTTAATGGTCTTTCCTTTTTTCTCCTTGAAGAGAGAGCAGTGATGAGGCTCAACGGCCAGGCTGTCATGTGCTGGTCTTTAAGAATTTCTTACAGGGAGGCTGGGGGGAGAGACGACTATGTGGAGACCTTCCTTTTTCCCGTTCGGTGTGTAGACATTAATTGGGCCCCACGCTCGGCTGGGAGAGCAGTTCTCTGTCCTCCTTCCTCTGCGTCGGCAAACACGCCTCCAGGATCACACAAGCAGACGGAGCATGTGTTTCCGGACGCCAGGGCTGCCCGCCTGTGACGGAGGAAGGCCTGCTGGTTGGCACCACCCAGACAAAATGAACAGGGGCCCCGGAGGCTCTGCCTCTGCCCGCTCTGGCGCCCACGCTCTGCGGTTCCGTGGCTCTTGGAGGGCGGTCGTGTCAAATGGGAAATAAACTTAGACCCATCACAGGCCCGAGGATAGTTACCTCGGGGGTCGGGTCTTTTGGTTTCTTCCCTCCAGAATCTTACCCTGTGACGGGGAAAGCGAACGGAAGCCAGGAGCGGTGCACGTTAGCAAGTTAACACACAGCCGACAAGCTATTCGGGCCGGAGCGGCTGACAAATGCACCACCTCGACTCACAGCCTCGCACCTTCGTCTGCTTCTCGTTGGGTAAAGCCAGAGAGCACGTTGTGACTTACCTGTGAAGCAAAGCGTAATGTACGTATGTAATATATTTATAATTTTGTAATATATATATTTTTTATTGATTTCAGAGACAGGAAGGGAGAGGGTGAGAGAAAGAAACATCCATGATGAGAGAGAATCATCATGGATCGGCTGCCTCCTGTAGGCCCCACACTGGGGGTCGAGCCCACAACCCAGGCATGTGCCCTTGACCGGAATCAAACCCGGGACCCTTCAGTCTGCAGGCCGATGCTCTAAAAAAGACATGAGTATTTTATCTTACAGAAGTATAGGGAGTAAAAAAAATAAAAAAAGGTATTTGGAGTCCCAGGAGGAGGGAATTGAGTTGTTTAAGGTCTAGACGTTCTCCCTGGCTAGTGTCACTCAGTGGTTAGAGTGTCACCCTACACACCCTCTAGTGCAGTGGTTCTCAACCTTCCTAATGTCGTGACCCTTTAATACAGTTCCTCATGTTGTGGTGACCCCCAATCATAAAATTATTTTCGTTGCTATTTCATAACTGTAATGTTGCTACTGTTATGAATCATAATGTAAATATCTGATATGCAGGATGTGTTTTCATGGTTACGAATTGAACATAATTAAAGCAAAGTGATTAATCACAAAAACAATATGTAATTATATATGTGTTTTCCGATGGTCTTAGGCGACCCCTGTGAAAGGGTCGTTTGACCCTCAAACGTGACCCTCATGTTTAAATGAAGAGGCAGGACCCTCAAACGTGACCCTCAAAGGGTCACGACCCACAGGTTGAGGCTGGTCAGGGGCACACACTGGGGTTGCAGGTTGGATCCCCAGCTCCGGTTGGGGCACACGTAGGAGGCAACCAATCCATGTATTTCTCTCACCTCTCTCTCTCTCTTTCTCTCTCTCTCTCTCTCCCCCCCCCCTTTCTCTCCCACCTCCCTTCCACTCTTTCTGAAAAATCAATGGGAAAATATCCTTGGGTGAGGATTAACAAAACAAAAAAATAATAAAATGAAACTGGTGTAGAGTTTCAGCTTCAGAAGGTGGACAGGACGCTGAAGATCTGTGCACAACCATGTGCCTCACGCTACTGAACCGCACGCTTAGAAATGGTCATGATGCGAATGTTTCTGTTACGTGCATTTTATCACGATTAAAGAATAAGAAAAAAGTTATGTTTGGAGTCGAGACTTGCTCGTCTCGACTTCGTGTGGCTTCGGAGTCCCGAGACGTTTTCCTGACCTCACGGTCCCCCAGCTGGCCGAGCGACAAGCAGCGATGCTGCCCGGGGGTCAGGGGCTGCTCGGGCCTCACCTGGCAGACGGGGGGCAGGGCCCGTAGCTGGCATGCCCGCCTGTGGCGGCCCTCGTGGAGGCACGGCCCACGGGAGGCACGGCCCGCGGGAGGCGGCGGCGGCCCGGGCTGCTTCTGCACGTGAAGCCGACGACACTGCGAGAGGCCAGAGCCGGCCGGCCCCAGTGTGGTGAACCCGCGGTGCCCGCGTCCTGTGTGGGACACACCGCCGCCCAGCAGACGTGATGACAAGAATGTCTCAGGCATCGCCCCAAACCCCTGGGGGACAGCATTGCTCTGTTTGAGAACCTGGGGCTCGACGTGACGACACTGTTCGCAAACCCCACGGTTTAGTATCTGTTTATTGACTTCAGAGGAAGGGAGCGGGAGAGAGAGAGAAACATCAGATGAGAGAGAGTCATTGATCGGCTCCTCCTGCACGCCCCCCACTGGGGATGGAGCCTGCAACCCGGGCCTGTGCCCTGACCGGGAATTGAACCATAACCTCCTGGTTCATAGGTCGATGCTCCACCACTGAGCCACACCAGCCGGGCCCAAATCTTCACTTTTCCCTGTGCTCGTGCGTGAACACTCCAGGGAGGATGAGCAAACATCCCCTCCACGTGGGTGCAGTTTCCTGGAGGAGCAGTTCCCACCCACTGGCCCCTCTCCCAGCTCCTAACTTCCAGTGCCGGGCACAGCCACACAGATCCTGACCCACTCTCCCTACAGAGACTGTCCCCGTCCCTATCCCTGTTCTGTCCCCATCCCTGTCCCTGTCCCTGTCCTGTCCCCATCCCCATCCCTGTCCCTGTCTCTGTCCTGTTCCCATCTCCATCCCTGTCCTGTCCCCATCCCTGTCCGTGTCCTGTTCCTGTGTCTGTCCCTGTCCCTGTCCCTGTCCTGTCCTGTCTCCATCCCTGTCCATGTCCTGTCCCTGTCGTGTCTCCGTCCCTGTCCCTGTCCTGTCTCCGTCCCCATCCCTGTCTCTGTCCGTGTCCTGTCCTGTCCCTGTCCTGTCTCCATCCCTGTCCCTGTCCCTGTCCTGTCCCATCCCTGTCCCTGTCCCTGTCCCCATCCCTGTCCCTGTCCCTGTCCTGTCCCATCCCTGTCCCTGTCCCTGTCCCCATCCCTGTCCCTGTCCCTGTCCTGTCCCATCCCTGTCCCTGTCCCTGTCCCCGTCCCTGTCCTGTCCCCGTCCCTGTCCCCATCCCTGTCCCCGTCCCTGTCCTGTCCCTGTCCCTGTCCCTGTCCTGTCTCCGTCCCCATCCCTGTCTCTGTCCGTGTCCTGTCCTGTCCCTGTCCTGTCTCCATCCCTGTCCCTGTCCCTGTCCTGTCTCCGTCCCCATCCCTGTCCCTGTTCCTGTCCTGTCCCATCCCTGTCCCTGTCCCTGTCCCCGTCCCTGTCCTGTCCCTGTCCCTGTCCCTGTCCCCGTCCCTGTCCTGTCCCTGTCCCTGTCCCTGTCCCCGTCCCTGTCCTGTCCCTGTCCCTGTCCCTGTCCCCGTCCCTGTCCTGTCCCTGTCCCTGTCCCTGTCCCCGTCCCTGTCCTGTCCCTGTCCCTGTCCCTGTCCCCGTCCCTGTCCTGTCCCTGTCCCTGTCCCTGTCCCCGTCCCTGTCCTGTCCCTGTCCCTGTCCCTGTCCCCGTCCCTGTCCTGTCCCTGTCCCTGTCCCTGTCCCCGTCCCTGTCCTGTCCCTGTCCCTGTCCCTGTCCGGCCGCGGGACGGCAGCACCTCTATGCTCCAGGTTCCCAGGAGTCCTCTGAGCCGGGGCTGGGGGTGGGAAGCGTGAGAACATCTCTCTCCCCTGCTCACCCGTCGGTGCGCCTCCCCAATAGGTTTAAGGCTGTTGCTAAGCTGAGGACAATGGCTCTTTGGGGAAAATCCTGGGAATGTCACAGACTCCGGGCGTTTGAGGAAAGAAAGAGGAAAGTTCTGAGCACAAGTTTCCTCCAGAAACAACCCCCCACCTTGGATTCGTGTATTTCCCGTGATGTCAGAGTCCTTAGTTCCTTGCAAACAATACAAAGGGACGAACGTTTCAGGTTTAGAGTCACCATGGCAACGTGTCAGGGGCTCTGAGGCGTCCGGGTCTCAGGATGATAGAAGCTGGGCTGGCGTCTCTGAAGGGGCCAAAGCCTCAAGGCCCACAGGCCCGCCCATGGGTGCTCCACGCGTGGGATTCCCCCAGGCGAAGCCTCCTGTCCCGTGGGCGGAAGGCTGGAACGGTGTCCCCCAGAAGGTCTGTCCACGTCGGAACCCCGGGAACCTGTGACCGTGACCGCATTTGGGGAACGGTCTTTGCAGATGTCCAGGCTCCCAGGGTGAGACCCTCCTGCGACCACAGGGTCCTTATGGAAAATGGAGGGAGAGCGGAGACGGACACACAGGGGAGCGGCCTGGGCGCTGGAGGCCGAGATCGGAGCGAGGCAGCCACAGCCACGGAGCGCAGGAGCCCCCGGAGCTGGCAGCGGCGAGAAAGGCTCTCCCCGAGTCTCCGAGTCTTCGCGGGAGCGTGGCTCCGGGACACCCGGATTTCAGGCTTCTGGCCTCCGGGACCGCGGGGGAGATAAATTCCTGTTTTTTTAATCCGCACCTGAGGATATCTTTCCATCGATGTTTAGAGCGAGTGGAAGAGAGAGGGAAAGACAGAGAGAAACACACCGATTGGTTTGACCGGAATCAAACTGGGACCCTTCAGTCCTTGGGCCGACGCTCTAGCCACTGAGCTTACGACCATAAATTCCTGTCTTTACGCGTCCTCTCCCCCAGCTTGTGTTACGGCAGCCCCGGGAAACTGAGACCCTGGTGACTTCTGCTCCCCCCCGCCCCCCCCACCCCCAGGCCTGTCTGTGCTTGGTTGCAGCTCTACTCTGAGTTCTGCGTGGGCCCCGAGAGCTCACTCCGGTCTTCCGAGAACACCCCACTTCCTAACAGCAGCTCCGGGCACAGCTCCGGGGTTCCCCTTCCCCTCCCTCCACCAGGAGCTCAGGAACTCAAGTTTCCTGGCTCCGCCTCCTTTCCCACTCTGGTCAGAATCCTCTTTTGTGGCCTCATAGATGGTTTCCATGGCGACGAAAGGTTGCGATAAAATGGTGCCAATGTGCACGTCAACTTCAGAACTGAACAAGGGCCATTGTTTTGCCTGGAGCTTCGTTCATTCTGGAGGTGCCAGGGGGATCTGGGACGTGGATCCATAGCTTCCTGGTCTGCTGCCACCTCGCAGCCCGCCCAGCTCGTGAGGACAGAGAGTCGAGAGTCGAGAGTCCCAGGGGGAGACCTGGGATCTTCAGCCCCTCCCACCTCGGCTTTCTATTCTTAGTGTTGGCACGCGTGGGTAAATGTCAACAGGTGAAGTGAGATTTCTTGTAAATAAGCAGATGGTCCCCCCAGGGTCGGCTGTGGGTGAGCTGGAAATTCTCGCAGGAGGAATCACAGCCAAAGACTTTATCACTCAGAACACCCTTTCATGTAGGGCATCAGAACCAGGGAACGACTCGGACCCGAGGCTAGGCGCTTGCCCCCAGGACCCTGGGCACGGGGCTGGGAGTTCACTCCTGCTTCCTGCCCGCACCACAGGCAGGGCTTCCGCCTGCACAGTCTTCTCCGAGATGCTTTAGTCACAGGGAGAAGCAGCTGTACCCAGTCCTCTGACGGGCTCCCAGGCCCGGAGCGTGCACCTCGCCGGGGCCAGATAGGGATCCTGGGTCACTGAAACCCCACGCCCTTGCTCCAAGCAGACGCCACCTGGAACTTCTTACCTGGGACGACCATATTGTCACCCAAACTGGAGCACTTTTTGGAGTAAAAGGAACCACTATTCACCATGCCAACAACACAGGCACAGTCTGTAGCATCCCTGGAAGAGAGGGACATCTGGTAACCCCAGCCTTAGGCCAACCTGCACCCCAGCCTTAGGCCAATCTGCACCCAGCGCCACCATAGATCTTATGGTTGAAGGGCCCTGGGGCCCGGTGCTTGGCTCTCTCCTCTTTTACATCTCACCGTGCCCTAGTCCGGGGCTGTCCAATGGGAGACTGTGAGGATGGACAGGCTCTACATCTCTGCTGTCCAGTGCAATAGCCAGCAGCCAAGTGTGACCACCGAGTGCTTGGAATGCGGCTAGTGCAGGGGTGGGCAAACTTTTTGACTCGAGGGCCACAATGGGTTCTTAAACTGGACCGGAGGGCCGGAACAAAAGCATGGATGGAGTGTTTGTGTGAACTAATATAAATTCAAAGTAAACATCATTACATAAAAGGGTACGGTCTTTTTTTTTTTTTTTTTAGTTTTATTCATTTCAAACGGGCCGGATCCGGCCCGCGGGCTGTAGTTTGCCCACGGCTGGGCTAGTGTGTCCAAGGAGGTCACATTTATTTTATTATATGTTATTGATTTCAGAGAGGAAGGGAGAGGGGGAGAGATAGAAACAGCAGCGATGAGAATCACTGATCAGGGCAGGGGCTGAAAGTACCCGTTGGCGGAGGAGAAGTCGGCTGGACCACATCATTGCCCACATCCAGAAGGGCCTCAGCTACACGGTGTTTGACTGTACGTGGATGCCCTGCAGCGGCAAGTTTGTGACAATGGGCGACTTCGCCCAGGGCACCGGCGTCATCCGGCTGTACGAGATCGGCCCAGGGACCTCAAGCTGCTCCGGGAGATTGAAAAGGCCAAACCCGTTAAATGTGGAACATTTGGTGCAACATCCTCACAGCAGAGATATTGAGCTACTGGAGATTTTGCTGGAAACCGTCATATAGGGAATATGGAAGCTCCAGAGTTCCCAGTGTATTCTGTAAAGGACCATAAAGAAATTATAAATACTATAGAGCAGCGGTTCTCAACCTGTGGGTCGCGACCCCTTTGGCGGTCGAACGACCCTTTCACAGGGGTCGCCTAAGACCATCCTGCAGATCTGATATTTACATGACGATTCATCACAGTAGCAACATGACAGCGATGAAGTAGCAACGAAAATAATTTTGTGGTTGGGTCACAACATGAGGAACTGTATTTAAAGGGCCAGAAGGTTGAGAACCACTGCTGTAGGTGGTGCAGATGGGCTAGGAGTTGGGGAAGGAGCACCTGACATTGTGACTGGCAGCCGAGATGGAATGGTGAGGGGGTGGGACCCAAGGCAGAAAGACGATCCTGTTGCAATACGGAACCTGTACAAAGAGAAAACAGGAGAGACTGTTGGGCTGTGGCGTTCGCGAATACCCCATTCAGCGGTCAAAGAAAGATTCCGGAGCAGAGATGGGAGTTGC